TGAGGATACTAAAACTATTTCTTGGGAGAAGGATGCAACTGAAGATAAATCTCCAAGTGTCTTTCTCGGCTATTCTCTGGCTACAGGTTTTATGATCAGCCCAGGCTGTTGTGAAGAGACCTAAAAATCAATGCCTCTCATTCCTAATGAGACCCTTAATGCCCAGTATGATGACAGCCAGTGTGAAATTGAATACTGACAACTCTACCCAGCACAAATATTTTTACTATGCATTTCCGTTGAAACACGTGTCAAGCCAATTACATATTTATAGGGTTTAAAGACTATTCCACTCAAGCCTCAGAGAGTACCCACTCTTCAAATCTCTCTTTAGTGTAAGAGGACTCAGGTACAATAGTCAAAGCTCTTGCGAGTCTGCAATAAATCATCTTTGCATCCCTAAGCATGTACCGTGGACTGCTTACTGCAGCTCCACAGACCCACCCCCACCTGGTAGAATTTTAATTCCCTCAGTAAAATTGATTCCACCAGTTCTGCACATTATTCTCCCTGTCTTCCATTTAGCCCGTTAGTTTGCTGACAGTAGAGTACACAGCACTTAGCAGCTGGTTTGTGGAACCATCAGTCAGGAAATTGTATGATAAATAGGAGGTAGCCAGGTTTAGTGGCACTTCCTTCTGCTTCAGCAGTTTTCGCGTGACTTTGGAGAAGTCATCATGCGGTGTTTTGTCAAGGGCCAGGGCGGGAGATGGCCGCAGTGCGGTAACTTATTACACATACACTTGAGCTATGATGCGCCCCAGCTGCGCTGCTCATGTGTAAATAATAAACCGCGAGGCGGATAATTATGGTGGCTGCTGGCAACACGGGTCTGTTCTTGTCATGTGGGTTTTCTTGGACAGCTTTTTGGGCCCGTGATGGAATACACCGCCGATCCACATACAAATGACAAACCAAGGCAAGGACTCAACGCTGGAGGATTCAGGAGCATTTTTTCAGAAACGCATTAGGATTAATGTCATATGATGCCACATATATTAAAGGGCATGCTCATACTGCTTTTTATTCTTCATTTATCCTGTTAAGCTTATGGTTAAGTATGCCTTGCGTTGGAAGAGGAAGGGTGTTTCATTGTGTTTTCCCAGAAAGTGGCTTAAGAGGTGTGATTTCCACTAATAACCAACACAAGGTATAATTGTTCCCACAGACTTCAGCAGTCCAGGGAAAGTTATTTTAAATTTAATCAAGAGAGAGAGACATAGAAACAGTAAAACACTTAAACTAAAACCAGATGTCTTTGGTCAAATCAGATCACATCCATTAATTCTCTGTTCTTTATTTAAACCTAATTCCAGAATGCAGAATTCATAAATTTCCTTGGGACATAAATAAACACTGTGCAAACAGTGTTACAAGATGCATCACACACTTGCAGTCAGAATTAACTTTTGTTGTTTTTTTTTGAGACAGAGTCTTACTCTGTTGCCTGGGGTAGAGTGCTGTGGCATCAGCCTCGCTCACTGCAACCTCCAACTCCTGGGCTCAAGCGATCCTCCTGCCTCAGACTCCCGAGTAGCTGGGACTACAGGCATGCGCCACCAAGCCCAGCTAATTTTTTCTATATATTTTTAATTGTCCAGCTAATTTCTTTCTATTTTTAGTAGAGATGGTGTCTTGCTTTTGCTCAGGCTGGTTTCGAACTTCTGATCTTGAGCGATCCTCCCAGAGTGCTAGGATTACAGGTGTGAGCCACCACGCCCGGCCTAGAATTAACTTTTAAACTCACGAAACACTGTAGACTCAGCTGTGAGAAATGACTGCTAAATGCCCCAATTTTTGTGTTTTATATTTTCCTCTCAAATATTTTTGCAGTGCTTGGCCATTGTCTCTTTCATTCTGAAAGAAGAAGCGAGGCTGAATGAGAGAGAGAGAGAGTGATTTTAAATCCTGAAAGAATAATTTCTTAAAGATGAAAAGATGGCAGTGCCTTTTAAATGTCAGTGGTAGCACTGTAAGTTTCCCTCGGGGAAAAGACTTTTATACTCCTTGGGTACACGCTTTTGATTTTGTGGGATTCACTGGTTGATCTTCACCCCTGTGTACAAAATCACCACCACTTCCTTATGTAATAAATACTCATATAAAAGATAATGACTGTGATTTCCCAGACTTACGAGGTATATATGAAATGTGGAATAAATTCACACATCTTGAGCCCTGTGTGTATGAAAAATGTGGGTTTGTACTTTGTCATAATCCATAGTTGCACCCACGTAGAGAAAACCAGATACAGTTAACACCCACTTATCTAGTGGAGAGAATTTAATCACACAGAACACAGCCAAGAGCCAATAAGTAAAGAAGTAAAAATATCTTCCATCTCTGACAGTCATAGTTGTCACAGTGTCCCTCAAAACAGCCATGTATATCTGTGCATGTGAGAAGCCCTCAGGAAGTGGGTCAGAGTTTATGAATACTTAATTCACACACACAGTTCTAGCAAGTTTGTTTTTCTGAATTGCAAGAGCGGGTTCTGTGTCTTAAGTAGGAGGTCTACGGAGGCAAGCGTGTGTGCATTAGTGGAGGGAGCCGATAGGAGTGGAAGAGAAAGAAAAGCCACCCACATGTTTAACCCTCCATACCTGGATGTGCATCTCATTTGGGTTTGTTTTAAAATTTAAAATCAGGGAAAATTCACTAGTATGTGTTGGACTTTCAAGCTAGTGAAAATAGCTTGATGTTATTATGTTGTTTTTTTTAGGAAGGATGGAAAATCTTGATCAAAGATGGTTAAATGAAATAGAATGTTTTGGCTCTCCAGAGGGTGGCTTTTAATCGTCAGGATTAGTGAGTTATGTGCACCAATGAATTTGCCAGCATTGCTGAATAAACGTTCAACTTAAACTTTCAAACTTAGCAAATCAACTGTTAATATTTGCATTCCATTCAGATCTCGCAAACTTAAGTAAAAAAATAAAATAAAAAAATGTAAAAAAAAAAAATATTTGCATTCCAAAGAACTAACTCCCAAATGTTTTAATATTAATTCCTAAGTGGTGAAATATCATTGATTTTTTTTTGGGGGGGGGTATAGACTTTATAAAATGTACAAAGTGTGATAAATGGTCAGGTTGTGAGCATATCCCTCATCTTGAATTTCTGGCATTATTGTATGTGTATCATGATATCACAGTGACAAAGATATGACAATGCCAAAACTCCTCCTCCCCTCTTTCTATATCACCAATCCTTCCCTACCCAATGTTGCAAGTAGAAAGTACAGTGAGTAATTGACATTTTTAGTGCAGTAATCCTCTTGGAAGTTTTCTAGATTGTACACCTGGCGGTAAACTGATAGAATGACAGTTTTGAGTCCTTCCCTGGTGGACCACAGGGTTTCTATCAATGTCATGCTTATAGTTTTTTACTCTTATTTTATTTTTTCCTCCACAACCACCATCTTAGATTCTCAAAGGAAGGCAGCAAGGGCAAAATTCAAAACAAGAAGTAATGTATTATAATTTTTAAAACATGTTTTTTTAATGCTTATGTTGTGGTAGATGCTTATTGAATGCATTTGGAAAATAAAGATATTGTAGGGAAGGAATTCGAAAGTACTTGAATTCAACATACACACACGTAATAGCCATCCACTTCCATTTAAGAGAATTCACAGTTGGGGTGCAGTGCTGCTGACCTCAGTGGGGGGGTGCAATGCACATCCTACGCTGTGTGTTTTTGGCACTGCTGCCCAGGCCCCCAGGGAGGTTCTGTGCCTTCCAGGGTCACTCAGAACCTGTTCACAGCAGGGACCTCACTTGGAGTTGCCTTTAGAACCTGCTAACCCCAGTGCACAATCTTCAGACTTTCAGAAGTAACTCTTAAGCCATTCTGAGGCTTGTGTGGCAGCACATATCAATTCCCACAGTGCTGCCTCTGGGCAGGCTCCCAGGGGCACCAGGTGTGGACAGGTAATATTTGAAGAGCACATCCCAGCAAGTTTGCTGTCACGTCAGTCTCATAGCCGTGCAGGCAAACCTTCAGGCTCTGGGCTCTTTCTTTGCTTCTTGAAACTTGGGAAAAACTCGAGTGCAGGTACAAAGTACCAGTCCTGCTTCTGATCATAAAATCTGGTATGCGACAGTGAGTCGCTATTGTTTTTTAAACAAAAGTTTATTTTGAAATGTGCAAGAGATAATGGGTATAGGTTACTAGGACTAAATGTGGGTAGAGGAGCTGTTTTAAGGAAGGGCACACACACGGGAACCCAGGGACCCTGAGCAGTCAGTGTACCTGAGGGAGGGGGAGGGGTCTGGGTCCAAGGTGAGTGTTAAGGCTACCTTGGCAGCAGTTCCCTGAGTTTGGCTCCACGTGCCCCTCTGTGAGTCTCAGTGGGCCAGCCCATCTCTTCTAGCCAGGCCGTACAGTAGTTCTCTGGCCAATGCGTAGATTTGCTGCCTTGTGTTGGGACTATGGAGGCCTAACCCAGGCCAAGGAGGAGGAGACTGTGCATTGAAATTTTTTTTTAAAAGTGTGTATTTGTACATGTACGTGTGTGTGTGTGTGTGTGTGTATGTATATATCAGCCATGGGTTCTAGCAGATCCTTTTAAAAGGACACCCTTAAAAACCTAATGGGCATGGGAGAAATGAAGCTAGTATTTATCCAGCTTTGTCTAATATTTACTTAATAATATGATTTTTTTTTCTTTAAATAAATGTGTTACAGTCTGTTCCTCTTGGTTTTGTGGCTCCTTCAGCCCTACTCCTCAGGTGGGCCTTTCTTCCAGGGTAGGGGGCCAACATCTTTCCTCTCTGTCTTGCTTTCCTGTCTGGGTTTTGGTTGCAATCATAGGCTCTACTTTTTCTGCTAGGTACAGGCATTCTTTACTCAGTCGTACGTTTGCAGTACTTTACGTAGCGCCCCAATGAGGAGATTCAGTGTAAGGGGTGAAGGTAGGATAGTGGTGTTGCTTCATGGGTTGGAATGCTGTTTCCAGGTGTTTGTTTGATCCAGGTCGGACTGCTTTTCTTTTTCAGATCCTCCACATCTCTTCCCTGCCTTCCACCCTCCTGTACCCCTTGATGCAAGACATCACGAGGGCCGTTACCATTATGATCCGTCTCCTATTCCTCCACTGCACGTGTAAGTATTAAAACTTCACCCCTTAATGAGATGCAACAAAATCCTGGTTTGTACTGTCTCAGGGCTTTTGTAAATGGCACGCCCGCTGGGCTTTGAAGATGTGATAGAAGTAAAAGATTTACTTTTAAAGTACAGCAAGCCTGTCTCTCCCCGGATTCACTGAGGCAGATCCCTGCTGCTTCCTGAGCAATGCCTGTCACACTAGGTAGCTGGCAGGTATTTCCCATATATTTTGCGGACGTGTGTTCTGTGGGCTGCAAATAACAAAATTAAAAAGTAAAAGCCTAACGGGAGGGTACCACTCAGAATATGTGTTTGCTCCAAACGAGGTTGGAATTTTTTCTTGCTAAAATTTCTGGCACGTGAAAGTCCTGTCCTGGGGATCACAATGAATTGTAATTAAATTTTTATGGTAAATTTTCATAACCCCCCTTGGTACGTACGCCAACGGTCACTTGATTGATGGGAATGTCACCCAAACAAAATGGCAAATGTGATGGAGTATGTGGTTTACACAAAGGTAAAAGGAAAGAATAGTGGTGATAAACATACATTAGGAAAGTAAAAAGAAATTCTTGCGGAAATGAGTATCATCTTACTTGGTTTGGAGGCAGTAAGGAACAGTGGACTCGAGAACTTATTCAGTGTTCTTTTGCAGTAGTGTCTGGTGAACGGTCATGTACTATAATAATTGGAGCCACTCTTTGGGAGGGACTGACTGCCCCTTGCTAACGGCCTTGATGTATATGTTTAGTCATATCTAATAATCACCCTTCATTCTGAGACAGTAAAGTTAGAAAAGCACAAATAATACTTTGAAGAATAATGCTGGTTATTTAGATGGTAGATTGCATCTCCATGGCTATTAGTTACAGCTGTGTAATTACATATTATGCCAAAGAAAAATGAAGTTGTTTTAAAACAAGTCCTCCTCTGTGAACAGAATTAATTGATATTAACAATCCTAACTACATGCCCAAGTACACATATAATATTTTACCAACAGTTTTTTGGATCCATCTCCCATTACTGAATTGTAATTTCAGAGCAGATTTGCCTGGAGGTAAGTAATAAATCTGTGTTGCAGACTTCTCCTAAGCATTAAAGGAGAAGTGGGTATTTATAGAGAGAGAATGCAGAAACTTGTGACTTATTCCTTGACTTTTCACTGGAACACAAGTAAGCATTTACGGGATTCTGAAGCCTGCTAAAAATACACTCAAATAAAACCAAGAGGCCAATTTAAAATTCCCTATACAAAGGGAAGGAAATTCCAGATTCAGTCTGAAAACTTGACATGTACTTCACCCTGCTATACAGAGGTTTTATGGTACAGAAAGGGGACCACGTGGCTCTCAGATGAGGATTTGCTCCGTGGTACAAAGGACACAGGGCCACATAAGCCTTGGAGACATGGCTGGCTAATTCCTCCCAGACCCAAGCCTCTGAATTTAAATCAGGTTTTCTATGGAATTTTGGAGTTCTTCACTCTTTCAAAAGTTTTGTTCTAGAGAAATTTTAAAAAATTACTTTATAAGATAGATTGAACTGTTTTCTCTGGATTCATTGGAGTTTGCTTTGTAGTTAAATTTAAATATGAATTTATCTATAAGAATCCCAAGTCTCGTTTCTTTGGCAGACCATAACAGCAAACCCTGACGTAGCTGCTGCTATGAGTTCTAGGCCTGTTGCATTGGCTTGTAGTGCTAACACCCCTCAAGAATAAAGCAGGTCGGGTTTGGAGAATCCTGGTAGGTAGGGTGGGTGGCAGGGAGCTACATATCAGGTGTTATAGTTGAGCTGGGATTTCCATGGATTTTAGTACTTCCTGCGTTTTCAGTCAAGCTTTAGGGTATTTTAATAGCAACTAACTAAATGTATGGTCACCAAAGGTTTGTAATGTGAGGCTGGTCAATAACCCTAAGCCTCGAAAGGGATGTCTTGGGAGGTTCTGAGAGGGAAAAACAGGGCTCTGGCCTCCTGGGGGTACTAGGTGCATCCTAGCAGGGCCCTGGTTGGCACCACACTGAACTTAGGAAGAGAGCTTAGCTCCAGGAAGGCAGGGGAAGTCCCACCCCTGTGCCTTTATAACATGACATCGTCTCTGCATTGCCCTCAATGGCCTTCCCTTTCTGGATGGTGAACTCCTGCTTATATTTATTCTCAAGGCTTCATTTAAGTGTCACCTTTGCTGGCCGTCCCAGAGGCTGTTTCTGTAGCACCTTGCTGGTACTTCTATTGTAGTAGAAGTATACTGCCCCCTGCTAGTTTTGTGGGCACTACCCAGCACTTGGCCAAGCACTTGGCTGGGATGTACTCACTGTCAGTCCAGTCTGGGAGAAGGTGCAGGAGCAGTCAGAGATCTCCAATTCCTGTTCCTGCCTTGCCACTCATTGTGCTGTGATCTCTGGCACCTTCTCTAGCAAGTGTCACGTGTATTGGTTATATTACGTGGACATGAAGCTCTCTGCCTTCTCCAACTCTTCAAATTGCAGGAAGAGTTCAGTGAAATAACGTTCATTTTCAGGGCCCTCTGAAAAGCTAGTGCTAAACAAATGCTGAGGGTTAGCATTCGAGGCAGTTGGGGGCATGAAAAATATGCCGGGAGTTTCTGTTCTGGCCTCATTCAGTTTTGAGTCCCTGGGTTGCTTTTGCACCTTGTGAGGTGTGATAAGTAGATGCCTGCCATCGTCTTGGAAGTGGAGGGTAATCTAGACAAGTACGGCTCTGTTACAGAAATGTTAAAAGCACATCTTTGCTGAGGTGGTAAAGCTATATAACCTGTCAAAAATAAAATGATTTCACCTAGAACTTGAATTCCAAAATGCTTCTATATAACTGTCTTATAAAAAAAAAAAGAGATCAGGTGTGCTTATGAAGTTTTTAGAATAAATATTTTTAATTATAAGATGACAAAATTTGGAGATATTCTCATTATTTTGTGCACACAATTGTTCTTCTGGTGCCAACTTTAAAAATTAAATTGCACGTCTCTTAAAAACAAGGATTTGTGTTGATGGAAATGCCGACAGATCTCCATTTAGAAGAAGGGCAGGCACTACGATAATTATGCTATCATATCCTATCATTAAGGATTCTATTGAAAGAGGTTTATAAATTGCTCCTCTTTTTAGATAAACCACCCTATATTAAGGCATCAACGATATGGTGCAGAATTAAATTAAAATCTCATAAAATGAAATATGTTCTGTATTAGCTGTTTGACACTTAATTTGCCTCTGAATGAGTAGAGGAAATCACAAATTAACCTGCCTTTGTTTTTCCAACCATGGCTTATTAGGTGTTAGAACAACTGCAATTACAGCCTAATAATAACCACTAAGCCTCATAAATATGTACGGAAATACGTCAGTTTGTGTTAAAGAACCCAGTTTGTTAAATGGAATGCCTTTGGTGTACCCTGCTCACTCTCATAGTCTTACCCAGTTTATGGTTAGGCAGTGTAGATAGAGTATAGAAACTTAAATTGATTCAAATACAGAACTGGAAATAATGTTAGAATTTATTAGTATTTCCTTTCTCAACTCAAAATCATGAATTTAGATTGAGAACTTATAAGTAGGACATGGAATGTGTTGCCTTTCCCTGAGTTGTCATGTAAAGATTGTCTTATAAAATGTACAATTCTTGCATTGTGGTTAATTCAAGTAGTTTGAAAATTAAGAACTATTGGCTATGAGGAATCTTCCCTTTTCTTCTGAAAGTTATCCTCCACTGAATTCACCAGGATTTATCTCTCTCTCTCGCTGTTTGCTATGAACACAGATTCTATGCTTGTTAAGCCAGTCAATAAAAAGTGCAATATTTTAGAGGAAATATTGGAGTGAATCCCCTTTATTACTGAGGTTATTTTAAGCATCAATGATAATCTGAATCTATACCCATAATCGAGGCAGTCATTTTATGTGTATGTTTTTACTTCTTGGTCTCCTGTATATTTCCTGCCCTACATTGTTAACATCAGAGCTGTATTCTTGCATAACTCCAAAGATACTATTGTACTCTTTGGGAATGAATGATGCCCTCTATGCTAAAAATTACTACTAGTTTTTAAAATTTCACTTGGAAATTTAGACAATTGGTATAATATATTGTAGCCCCCACACCAGAATACAGTTGTATTATATTTTTCAAGTGACTACTTTTCACAGTAATGATGAAAGTACCTTTTCTCTTGCATTTTTAGTGTGTGCATTTTTTCTTTCTCTCTTTTAGTGTTACAACTCCTTTCTTTTTTAAAAGTAGACGTGGTGTATTTGTAGACATGGTGTATAACCCAAATTATAAAGTAGCTTTAAATTCTAATTCGATTGCATTCATTCTGTATTTTTGCTTGGGAGGAAAAAAAAATCTATCCTTTGCATACAACCTTTCTAAGCCAAAGTTTTCTCATTTATTGCCAATATAAAATGAATTTCAGACTGTCCCTTTGCTTCACACTGAGATCTGCAATTCATTTTCCAAAGCCAGGGTCCTTAGTCATTAATCCATTACAATAATGGATTGCACTCGGGCCCCACACATCTTCTTGCCAGTGGAGCTGCGAGCCTCTCGCCTCATGCCGTGGGTGTGAGCAGTACTGCGCCCCAGGCGGCGTCCCCGGCCAGCTCATATAGAGGCTGCTGCGTCTCGCCATCCACTTTACTAACTCACTGTAGAAAACCAGCTTCGTCTTTCCTGTCTTGGAAAAAGTGAGCACTCAGGTTCTGTTCTCCTCGACAGCTCCTTTTTCTCTTCCTTGAGTCAATGCAGCTCATCCCAGGGCCGAGTGACTCTCTGGAATTTTTCCACCTGAGTAAGACGAGCTGTTCTTCCCACCATAAGTGGGCCACCTCCCTGTATTTGGGAGAGAGGACTCAGTACACATAGATCACGAATAGTAGCCATGAAATGGAGTACGCTGGAAACAAGCAAGCCTTCAGCCCCGTGGTTAGGACTGCCATTTAGGGATGAGAGCAGGGGGGTGAGCCGCAAGTTTG